CCCAGGCAAGCCCTGCCCCGCTGCGCCTCCCGGGACGTCGCTTGCAGGTCGGCCGGACCAGGAACTGCCGGCAGGGGCCAATGAAGGGCCGGGGCCGCATCGACTGCACCTCCGGCTTGGCTTGGCGAGTTGCGTGAAGTCGAGCCAGGCTGAAAGGGAGGCCGCGGGGCCGCGACTCTGAGCTGGCTCGGGGAGCTCGGCTTCACTTCTCGATGCGCCCGGCCGGCGAGCTTCGGCGGGCGCCTTTCCTCGCCGGCCATGGGTAAGGAGGAGGCGGTTGGGAGGCGGCGGGGAGGAAGGGGGAGCCCCGTGGCCTTCTCGGGCTGCTGCTGCCCGCTAGGCAAGCGGAGAGGCGGGAGGGAAGCAACCGCCGCGGAAAACTCCCCCGGCCCAGCCCTCCTCTCCGTTGTGGGGCTACTTGGCGAGACCGTGGCGCTGATCGGGTCCCGATCGGCAAGAGGAGCTTTCTGCAAGCGGTAGGAAGAAGGCGGGGAGGAAGTGCCCAACCACCCAGGGCGAGAGGGCCTGCTTTGCGCATCAGGGCCGCTGTTGTTCCCAGGGAAGCCTCCGGAGGACAGAAGCAAAGGCGAAGAATACGAGCCGCCCAGAGTTTCTCACGCGACCTGGCTGAGCTTTTATTCATGCCAAAAGGGCTCGAGGGAAACTGGCCCGAGAAACTGCGTTCGCAGCCGAAGACGTACCTTGTCGGAAAGACCTTCCGCCCAACTGGCCGCAAGCCACGACAGCCCAAAGGAAGCTCAATCCGGTGCTGGTTTAGTCCGAAGTCATCAAAGTCACGAACGGGTTTTCAAGGCAAGAAAGGGCCGATTTGACACCGCAAGCCTTAGGTGACCAAACTCGCCATGTAATAAACCGAGAATGGAAGAGGGGAAAAAAAATTACCCTGCGAAATAAAAACGAACAGGGGAAGAAGAGGCTGTACTACACCACGGAAAGAATCTAGGCCAAGGACTATTCTGAGCAAATCTTGTGCACATTTAAATTGAGAAAGGACTAGATTCCACTGAAGGCGCGGCCCTGAATTATCCTCCCTGGGAAGGAAAAGGAAACCCCGAAGGCTACAATGCTATGCATTGGAAAGCAATAGGAATAACTAACTGTTCAATGGAAAGCAATAGGAACAATTGTTAAGGGGGAAAAAAAACTGCCAAGACTGCTGCTGGCGTGAAAAAGGTCACCAGGAAAGAAATTGGCTAAGGATGGATTTCGGGCCTGACTAATTTTATTTTGATGCATTGATTTCTGCTTCGCCATCCTCATTCTGGCTCCTTTTAAAAAGAAGCCCCTCTTTCTCTCTCTGTATACGTGTGTGCTTTGCAAAAATAAAGAATTGATAACCTTGACTGGAACATTTTGCCACTTTCAGTCTGTATAAGTTATGCACGTAAATAAAGTTTACACCAAAGAAGAAAGAGACGCCGCAGATCTAGGGACCGAATCAAGCCCCAAGACTTTTCTAGAGGCAGACAGGTGACCAGACCAGTCCTCACGCGTCTTTTCAAATAAAAAGGTTACGCGTGAAATCCGTGGCCCTAACCCTGATCCATTCGCCTTCCCAACAAGTTCAGTGTTGCACAATTGCTTAAGCGAGCCTTTCTCCTTTTCTCTCTCTTACCTGTCTACCCGAATAGAACAGTCCAGACCGTTTCTGCCCCATCCCCTTGTCCCCCATCCCGATTTCCAAATAACCCGCGCTAGTGTCCCAGGCAACGGGTTCGACGGCGACCCATGGATGCCACAATTCATGAAGCGCCTTCCACCAGGTTTCCGTGCGAAGCCTTCGCTGCTTCTGCCGAAGGCCACCACAGCCTTACAAGGCTGTCTCTGATGGCCAGCGGTCAGTGCAGGATGGTTAGGCGGTCCCGAGCTAATCAAGCAATTGCACATGGGAAAGCGTGCAAATGAGGAGACTACCGCAAGAAAACGCGGGAGATAAATTCACGCAGGAGGGCGAATCTGCAGGACTCCGTTCCATCCCGCTCCTACACCAGAGTAACGCGAATAAAGCAAACTTAATACCCACAAGAGGCTCCAAAAACCTGCGTTTTATTATACCTTAGATTCTTTAGGAAAAAAAGGGGCCGTATAAGATACATGGTTTTTCTCAGTAAGTACCCTTATTATTTCCAGGGCAGGGATTTTGCTCGAAAGGGTGCCTCGTTAGTCCCAAATCCTTTATATACTTTGACTCACACGCATTTTTCGAGATTTCAAACGTTGGTGGTACTAGTGGCGATTATAACCTTCCATCCACATTTCCTGAAGAGTTCGAAAGTTTAATTTCCCGGGAGAAAGGTGGCTTTTAAATTGTGCTTCTGAGAAATGATTAAAACGGGCAAGAAGTTGGAGACCTATTAAAGCCGCCGTTACTCTGAGGAATTGAGCTGGGATGCAGTTTTTAAATTGCGGCCTCGCAGTCCACTGCAAGGCGTGAGGCAGGGAAGAAAGACCTGGCGATCATTACCTGGCAGGAAATCAGAACGGTTCTCGTGGAGAGATAGTATCTTTTCCGGCTCTCCGTAGCTTTGCCGGACACTAATCTCTGCAGGGTGTGAGTGGATGTGCCTGAAGCGGAGCAGGGTGGTGGTGTGGGGAGAATGAGAACCAGGCAAGGGGGCTGTTTGCTTTTGTCCTCCGTGGGTGGAGGAAGGAACTAATGCGAAGCGTCCTCCTTTCTTTTTTTCAACGCACCTTAAACTCGGGAACCCTAGAAACAAGTGGGGCGCCCTTGCAGGAAAGGTCGCCCTCCCGGATATTTCCAAAGGCCCTTTGAAATGAATAGGAAGGTGCACCCTCCCACTCGGACCGCAAGCGCTGACTGTATTCACCCGACGGTTGCTGAGACGCAGCCACGGGTGCAAGGGAGCGCCGCAGACTTTCGTCCTGCAGGTGGCTACTGCTCACCTTGGCCATTGCAAAACTGTCAAAGTCGGGGCTCCGCCAAATAGAGGTTTGCTTCTCTCCCTGAAGAAAAGCGCAAGGGACAATAGTTTGCTCAAGCCCTCCCCGTCCCCGTTGAAAAAGCGTCGGGGGGAGCACTCCTCCCTCCCTCCCTCCCTCCCACGGAGGAGCCTCTGGGTGTTGGGAAGTTGGGGCGGGGGCGTCGGCTGCGGCGCCCGGGGTCTCTGAATTGGAGTCAGCTGGAGGGGGCTGAGCTCCGAGCCCCGCCGGGGCGGAACCCAGCCAAGCCCTGCCCCGCAGCCACCTCCCGGGGCCTCCCTTGCAGGCCGGCTGGACCAGGAACTGCCGGCAGGAGCCAATGAAGGGCCGGGGCTGCATCGGCGGCACCTCCGGCTTGACGTGGGAGACGCGTCAAGTTGAGCCGAACTGAAACGGGCCGCGGCGCTTCCCTCCCGGCAGCAGACGTGGAGCTCCACGCGCGGCTAGTCTAGTCCGGCCTCGACTCCCAACTGGCCCGGGAGCGCGGCTCACCTCTCTATGCGCCGGGCGGACGGACATCGGCGGGCGCCCCTTCTCGCCGGCCATGGGTAAGGGCTGGCAGGCGCTCGGGCGGCGGGTTGGAAGGAGGAGGAGGAGGAGGAGGAGGAGGAAGCGGTCCGGGCTCTCTTGCTGTTCTTGGCAGGGAGGCAGCTGCAGGCGGAGGGGGGATCCTCGGCCTCCTCGCTTCTAGGGAGCCGCTAGAAAGGAATGCCGGCTGCTCCCGACTTGCAAAGACGCACTTTCAGCCGCGGTAGGAAGTGGGGAGGCGCTCCGGTCCCCAGAAGCGGGGGGGGGGGGGGGAGGGCATGAGGGATAGAGTGCCCACGGGCGGCATTAGCCTTGTGGCGGCTGAACAGAGGTGGTTTGGATGGGGAATCCGTTTCGTCCCGCCTTGCTTCTCTCCGGATCAAGTAGAGAGTTCTCTTGGAGAACTTCCGCCGCTTCTTCCAGCAACCCCCATTCCGTGGAAAACCTTCTCTGGGCCTAGAGATTTCAAATAGCCATTGTGATTCCATTTGCTGTCCTAGCTTTACTCATCTCATCTAAGTTGGGCCCTTTTCTTCACTTAGTAAAAATAATATAAATCTATAGATAGATGCCATCGTTATAATTATCATCATGTTACATAAGACATCGTTTCAGAATTATTTAAGATGTAGACATATTTCAGAATAAGAATATAATGTGCTTGCCATCTTACAGTACAAGACTATTAAATATATTCTAAATATATTCAGTTCATATGCTGCTGGATATTGGAGGTAAATTGTTTTCCATAAATCGTGTGTTTTTTTTAATTTGGAGTCAAAAGCACCCTAAAAGTTCGCTCATTTATTTGGCTATTCAGATATTTCCCATTTTGTTGTCTCAAAGGAGCTCTGCCCTTTTATTTCCACCTATTAAGGAACCATATATATTCCCGGTTATCTTTCAATGATAGGTATTCGTTTCTATATTTCAGATGTAATCATTTTCCGTTGGAGACCATAGGTTAATATCAATGAACCCTAATCCTAACCCATGAAGATCATTGGCTTTGGTTAACATCACAGATTTGAAATTTCTTAAAACTCATGAGGATTCATTGTTGACACCCGCTTAGTAAAGCCCTCCGATGAATGGGCTAAAGCAGAGGTCTCCAACCTTGGCAACTTTAAGACTTGTGGACTTCAACTCCCAGAATTCTCCAGCCAGCTGGCTGGAGAATTCTGGGAGTTTAAGTCCACAAGTCTTAAAGTTGCCAAGGTTGGAGACCTCTGGGCTAAAGTGCAGGAGAACTTAGAGGTGTGAAGGCAGCAGATGCACCTGAATGGCAGGGAAATTATGGGGGGAAATGTATAGGAAAGCCCAGGAATTGGCATTCCATGTAAAACCAATTTTGTCGAGAGGTTGCCAGAATTCAAGCCATAAGGTCAAATTTAAAACAAAGAAGTAACTCTTTAAAAACTTTCGGAATAGGAGAAGCTGATTCTATCTAGCCAACTGTTAGATTGCCGTGCGCCGCGAGCCACCGGCGCCCTCCTCCCAATCTCTCTGGACCCACCGTCCCCCGGTCAGCGCTGCCTCCTTCCCTCGCCTGGGTCGCCAAAGCCCTCAGTCAGCTCTCGCTCCCCCTTCTCTTCCGGCTCTTTCCAGAGCAAAGCTACGGCGAAGTGAACCAACTCGGCGGCGTCTTCGTCAACGGGAGGCCGCTGCCCAACGCCATCCGCCTGCGGATCGTGGAGCTGGCTCAGCTCGGCATCCGACCCTGCGACATCAGCCGGCAGCTGAGAGTGTCCCACGGCTGCGTGAGCAAGATTTTAGCCCGGTACAACGAGACCGGCTCCATCCTGCCCGGCGCCATCGGCGGGAGCAAACCCCGCGTCACCACCCCCAACGTGGTCAAGCACATCCGAGACTACAAGCAGGGCGACCCGGGGATCTTCGCCTGGGAGATTCGGGACCGCTTGCTGGCCGACGGCGTCTGCGACAAGTACAACGTGCCTTCGGTCAGCTCCATTAGCCGGATCCTGAGGAACAAGATCGGCAGCCTTTCCCAGCCCGGCGCGCCTTACGACGCGAGTGGCGGCGGCGGCAACAAGCAACCTGCCCCGCAGCCGGCCCTGCCCTACAACCACATCTACCAGTACCCTTACCCCAGCGCCGTCTCAGCCTCCGGCACGAAGATGGGCGGCCACGCCGGAGCAGCTCCCGTCTCCGCGGCCCACGTCAGCCTCCCCCGCTCTTGGCCTTCCGCGCACTCGGTCAGCAACATCCTAGGCATCCGCACCTTCATGGAGCCAAGCGGTGAGTGGATCCGAGCCGACCCGAGCCGACCCTCCGGGGCCTAGGGAGGAAACGGGGCGCGTTCTGGGACGCCAGGTAGAAGCGCCCCTTCTAGCAACCGAAAGGACAGAGTTGCTGTCTCTAATCGGGCTGGTTAATAACCCACCCTCAGTTTGCCTGGCGATTGATAGAATACAACAAGAAAAGCAGTCCCTGGTTTGCAGAAAGAGTTATGACCTACGGGGTGGGTGGGTAAAACGACTACTTTCTGCCGTAGATCTATCTTGTGCCTTTCTTTTCAGTTAAGAAAGAGGGCAGATTGTGTAGAAATTGAGGGTATCCTTACTGGGTTTTCTTGCTTTAATTTTATATTTAAATGCTGTGGCTCTGAAAATACTGTTTATTACTACACACCATGTGTGTTTTTTATTTGTCTTATGCATGTGCACGATTCCCGACCATGAGTTTAGGCATGTGGTGGCTAATTATTTAATTTAACTCCTGGAAATCCCATTAAGACTGTATATTTATCACTCATAGAAACTCAGTGTCACTTTATAAGGCAAATGAAGCTTACTCAAGAAATTTGAGAAATATCTCTGGTTAATATTTTTTTTTTCTAGAGCATGTCCACAGGCCATGCATAATGCGAAGCTTTTATTCTAAGGTTATAGGTTTTAATATAAGACCTCAATCACCACCGAAGGCAGAAGAAAAGATCTGGCTTATAACTAGAGACATTTCAAGTGTATCTGACTTCACGTGTTTTGGAATTCCCAGAAAGTCTTAACAAACCGGTTTTGAATATATTCATTCTAAAACAAGCCAGCTTTAGTCACAATTATATTTTATACATTTCTTAGTAGTTTTGTCGCTCATTTCTGCTCTAAACAAAATTATGAATGCCTTTGATATGCACATCAAGTTCAAGAACATATTTTACTTAGTTTGTCGATCTCCTGACAAGTAGGAATAATTGTGCAGCTTGCAATGACCTGCTTCTCCAGGCCATTCTAAAAGGCAGCCCTTTATTTAGTATTTAGTATTGATTTGATTTGTCAATCGCTCTTACAAGATAAAGGGAAGAGGACATGATCCCTGGGCCACGCAGGCCTGGTGTGGAAGATGACCTCTTCAGGTTTTTGAACTCAGCCCTCCTCTGTTTGAGCTTCAGAACCAAGCAGGGCTTAATAAGTGGCTCTCTCACCCCATCTTCATAGTTGCTCATTGCTTAATGTCTCATGGCTTCCTGGGAGCTTTTGCTGCTGCTATAACAACCTGGAAGGACAAAATTCAAAAAAGGCCTGGACATCTTGAACTTCTTATGAAAAAATGTGGAAAATATTTTCGTAGCGATGAGAGATTGCCAACCACAAACTCTGAGCCCTTATACTCCCCTCTCCCTTTAGAAAAACAGAAGGAAAAGGAAAAGTGGTCTCAAGAAACAAATTCATATCACAATTATTTTCTGAAAGATCAAATATCTGACAGAGCTTTTCCACTTCTTATATTATTACTTGTCTTTCAGTTGTTTTACATTCTATATTTCTGTCTTCTCATGGATTCTACAATTGCTGAGATCCCAATTATCCACAAACTCTTTCTTAGAGAGAGGAGGCTACTATGTTAGGGAGTCTTCTATTTTTAGACTGTAGTTATCTACATTGTTTTGTTACTAGGAAATCTTAAGTTGCCATTTTATTTCATTTAATTGTTCAGTTTGTGAAGGAGAGAATGTTCCACTCTGCGGGTTCAAAATGAAACCAGTGAGAGACGCTTGAAAGTTCTTCTTTACAACTCAATAATAGATACCTTTTAACAGATAACGTGTCACGTTTTCAAAAGTGCCATCCGTGTTTTAGATGACATATTTTCAGGTATCCTTATTCATGACCATCAGCTCTTTGATTCTGATATTCCCAGTGGTATCTGGATGTGTTGCAATTAGTTCCATCACCTTCAACCAGAACAGTCAAAGAAAATCAATTTAATGGATCTATTTATATGGCTTAGGCTTAGTTTGCTAAAGAAAAAAACTAATAATGGTCAGACAGTACCAGCTTCTCCTGTAAATTAATTCTAACTGTGCTGAAACTCTATTAAAAAGATGCCAAACACAGGCTCCTTCCCATTTTCACTCCACAAGCAGTTGGACATTTCTGATCGTTGCATTTAATTCACTGTAATCCTGTTTTCCATTTATAATAACACTCTCTTGAGAGTCTCCTAAATGATACGAGAGCCAAGAAACCTGGTTCATGTAATGAAATAGGCATGAAGGTGGATAAGTATGTTTTAAATAAAATGCCAGCCAAAGCTGCTTGCAGTTTGAACTATCTCCTCTCTCATTTCCAGACTTTAATTTTACCTTCTGTGCAGATCCAATTCAATATGTAGGTTGGTCATAAGACATTTGTGACCCCAGGTGTCTTCTGAAAGCTCAGCTTCCTTTCCATCCACTGATATGTTTTGTTGAAACGCTTCCCACCCAAACAGAATCTGCAGTGATGTTGGAATTAGTATTTCATAAATAAATCTGGATTGAATTTATGGCTAGATTTTTTATACAAGGCTAGGGCATTGCAGTGTGGGCAAAATAAAAAAATCCATCTTATACAAGTCCTTTAGTCTTAGGGAACATTAAACCCTTTAGCCTCAGGGAAAATTGAGAAGGGAAGCAAACACTGGGGTGGGGTGGAAGGAAGAGATCACCACTGAATCTCCTTCCAGTTCTCGAATAAAGCAAATGTTTGATATTATCTTTTCCTCTGCAATTTGGCATGAGGTTCCTCTTTGCCTGCATCCTTAAAAAGCCCCCATCACTCTGATTTGATGTGAGGCTCAGACAATGTCCCCGGAGCCTAATGGGTTATTTTTATTGACCTCTAGAGTCTTCATAGAGCTTAACAGAGATCTCTGAAAAGGTGAGTTATCATCCAGGAAGTAGGTACATAAGGGACCCAGTGGGCCTTGGGACAGGCCACCACTTTTCTGGCTGCTAATATATTCCCCAATCTCTCCCATCCTAGGTGTTTTAGCTGGGACAGATGGTTCTGCCTATCCTCCCAAACTCGAAGACTGGCCAAGTGTGAATAGAACCACCTTCCCTGCTGCCGGGCACGGTGTCAATGCACTTGACAAAGCAGCGGCAGAAGCAGACATTAAATACCCCCAGGTAACAACAGTCCAGCCCCTTGGGAATTCAATAGGAGGGAGGGGCTGCACAGGGCTGTGTCTGTGGCCAGGAAGTGGGGGGGGGGGAGGGGGAGGAGGGGGGGGGGGGGGGGGGAGGAAGGGGGGGGGGGGAGGAGGAGCAGGGCAAGGGGGAAAGGAGAAGCAAAGCAGGGATTATCCTGTAAGATATGTATTGTATAAGGAAAACTATGCTTCCGAAATAGCAGTAAACAAGTATTGGCCAAGATCCCTGAAAACAAAACAAATTGCAGTAAAAAAAAATTCCCACATGATTATTCTAATCTAGTTCTCTTTTTTAAAGCAAATTCATATTAGGGATTGGCAGGCTGATGGCACCAGGTGCTGAAGTGGAGGGAATCGAATCCTGCTTGATTTCTGTCTTTACACCAAGAACACACACAGAGTTGTCCCTCAAAGGCTGCTGGCTGCTTTCAAAAAGCAGTGGGTGGGGACCCCAGCAAAGACGAATGTCACCTACTTTGAATTGGAATTATACGTACTTAATGTGGTTATAGCAATGATTACTCCTAATATCAGATTTAAAATATTGTAAATTATAGTCTGGCAACCACTGAGGCCTCTGCTTTGTAAGCCAGAGGGGGAAATGACACGTGCACACTCCTAGAGCAGCTTCTGATTATTGTTATTTATATATTCATCTCGGTAATTTCATAAAACTTACCCCCTTTTTTGATAATCTATATATTTCCTTGCATCAGCTTCTGTGGTTATTCAAACTGAGATCAGGAACTGCATGAACTGAGATCAAGAATTACTAGTGCAGGTTTTGCTGTGCAGGTTTTTTTGCATTCCTCTTCAATTTAATTTCATTCTCTAGATCCTTATTTGGAAGCGAAGTGAACTTGAAAACATAATTTAATTTACTTCCCCTTTTGTGTAATTAGAATCAGAGCAGGAATGGCAAATCCATGCTGGAGTGTGACCTTTCTTCCTAAAGCTCCCCGTTTTTCCACGTGCATTTTTTCTTTTCTTTTTGCAGGCCCCTCCTGGGCTCTCGGCTGTGAGTCCTTTCCTGTCCCCTTGTGCTTACCCATCATCAAACCAACCTGGCGTTTATGGAGGGCCAGGAGGAAGCTACCTAAGTCCATCTCATCACCACTGGCAGACCCAAGGTAACCCCTTGGCTCATCACCACGGGCCTGGAGTAGCTGTTCATGGTACAGAGCTGGCTTCCACTGTGGCTTTCAAACATCTCTCCAGAGAAGGTAAGCACAGATGAAAGGGAGGCACAGCTTTCTTGGGCAGTGACAAAAAAAAAGGGGGGGGCTTCTACTTTACATTCATGTCCCCTGTATTTCTTATCATTCATTTTGGTAGTTCTGATTTTTTTAGTTGAGCTATTCCTTTCTCAGAACAGTGCGTTGGTCAGTCTTTGTCAACTACTTCCAAGGTGTGGCTTTTATATATGCATAAAGTATCTTTGAGCAACATTCTAAAAGAGACACTGCATTGGTCTACACAAAGTATTATTCATTGGAGGCCAATCAGATAATCAGTTAGCAAGCACTGAGTAAAGGATGGCAGGAAAAGGGTGCCTGTCTTCTTTAAATAAAAATAAAAATTAGTGTATTTTGAAAATGTTCCATACTTTTAATTTCATTGAAACTTGGTCTGCTTTCAACAAACAAACCAGCCACTGTGATTTCTTGTTAATTATTGTTATCCTCACCAGAAAGAACTTCTTTTAGTTGAAAGTGCTGTTGCTATTCAGTTATCAGAAGTTAAATAATTGGAGGTGCTTACTGGCTGGGAAAAGAAAACCTATCCTACCTAAATAGTTTCTTATCCCTTCCACAGAGCTACTTCTCTTTTTTCTTCTTTTTCTAAAAAAAACAGCTACACCTTTTATTTTCCTTACAATTATTATGCAATAGTCACTAGCTGCGTGTGGTCCCTTTTAGGGTAATAGATTGAAGTGTCATTTAGGCTGCAAGATAATTGACAATGATGGATGACACTGAAATAAGGTGTCCTGCACATGTGAAAGTAGTCTCTAAGACGTTGGAAACAGGAACATAAAAAGGAAGGTGCCCATATAAAAAACATTGTTGCCTGAGCAAAGATTAGGTTGTGTTCTATGGCTCTTGCCTTTCAGATAGTACATAAAGCATTTATAAGTGGAGGCTTTTTCCAATCAAAGGCAGCAGGTCGATTCTCATACATCTCATCTCTTAATGTTTCTATGACAATAATTTGGACTGTATGGTGCAAATCTAAGCACGTTTCTACAGAACAAAGTCTGTATATTATTTCTTACATTTTCTATGGCTAATACTCTTGACCTAAAGAATAAGGCAACTGTATTCTGACACATTAATACAGTATGAGCATATTTGGAAACAAAACACAATAAAATCCTTCCTCTTACATGTACAATTTCAAATTTATTTTGGACTTTTTTTTAGATATTTTATAAAGAAAGGCAGTCAAATAGAAAGACCTTTTAACTCAAAAGATTATATAACTGACTATCATTGTCAGTTGCTTATACAAAAGAAAAACAGTCTAGCAAAAACTTCAGTCTTCTAGTCATTCCTAAATGCCCCTTAAAATGTATTGAGCGAAGTAGCATTGGAACATTTATTTCATGTTTATTTATGCAGATCATGAAAGAAAAATAAATAGCTGCAGACTACACCACATCTCTTCATAAATACAATAATTAAGTTATTTAAATAATAATTTCAATATACAGAAGTTTATTGTTTTCATGGAAGAAATCCACCATTAATCTTAACAAAAGAGAAAGACATTTTCTAGAGCAATAAAAATATCAAGATTTTAGTCAGTCCTATTAAAGTCTCCATTGCCAATAAACTAAGAGAAGTGCTACCTTTTTAAAATACTTCAATTAAAATAAACAGTACATTTATTTTTAAAATCTGAGCATGTTAGATATTATGTTGTTTTATGCATCTTTCCTTCCTGTACGTATCTTTTCCTTCTTTTCCATGTTCATTGGTTCAGATGACCTTTTTCTGCATACTTGTGAGGAACTAAATCTCACTGAAGGACGTATTTTCAAATAGTTCTGCTTTGAATTCTATGTTAGCTTTTCCTGACTAGCATTTCTACCTCACTAACCCAGTTTGAGCATTCACTGAATTATAAAAGTGCTTTTGATTTGAGTGGAGGTTTCACCCTATTCACAGGGAGATAATCTTCATTTGGAAGGAAGGTTGTGCGAGTAACATTTACTTGGGTATTTCGCATATTTGTGAATTTTCAGTTTCTCTATTTGTTTAGTTTGGAGGAGGTAAAGGCATAATTTATTAAAACCAACAATTTTACCTAAAATGTTAATACTGAAATGTTAGTTTCTTTGAAATGAGCATATCAAATTGAGCCTCCCCACCCCCTAACAGTATGGTCCATGTGATTATGAAAATTAATAGAGACTATTTTAAAGAAAATGTGGTCCATTTTCCCTTTCTTGTTCTTCTGTAATATAATTTTTCTTAAAAAAATCAGCCTTATCAGTCCATGGTATCTTGGTGGATAGCTTTTGTGCATTTTCCCTGCTACAAAGATATCTTTTACATTTTAAAATGTCCCTCACCTGTTGAAATCTAATAGGTGCCACAAACAGTTTGCTATTTCCAGTAAGCCTTGCTTCTTTACTGCTGGTAAATGTTGAAGCAGGGTAGGCTTAGGGGTGGAACATTGAATTGAGGGAAGTGCCAAGTTAAATGAGGTTGCACTATGTTGACTTGAGTTTACTTATGCACACTGACTTCAGTAAGCAAAGGTTTTCACAAGCAGTGAAGGCTCTTTGATTTTCCCTAAACGTCTCCTAGTTGTTTGGGGATTAGATAGGAAGATGAACTTCCATATATTCAAAGTATGTTTCTTTTTAAGCTTCCAATTGGTATCATCTGTTCTAGATAAAGCTCAGTGAAAAACATATTTATTTTGCTGGGCTTTGCAATTTGCACAATCCACAAAACTTGGCAAGAGGACAAAACTGCTTTGGGGGAAGCTCTGATGCCAGGCTTGGAGGATACTGCTATGCCAGGCTGCTGTTTTATTTGAAAGCCTTCCACGACTCAGGCAATGTGTACAAAATTAATGAAGTGCCATTTGTTTGTAAACGGAGCCAGCAGAAACAATTTAATAACTCAGGCCTAATATCAATTATGCCCTCACGCATGAGGAAGACAGCAAAAATATGACAAAGGGGCCTGCCACTTATTACCTCACTTCAGTCATGAGTTTTGGGGCTAAAATTTTCTTAGCCTTACATCTCTACCACTCTCTGAACAGTAACTCTAGGAACTTACCCTATAGATCCTGGAAATTCTAAAACAATATAGACAAATCTATACATATAACACTGAAGATTCTTATGCAATTTTTTGTGCTTCATTATAATTTTCCAGATTACCTCTATTGAATACACCTTTCAAGTACAGGTAGTCCTCAGCTTACAACAGTTCATTTAGTGACCGTTTGAAGTTACAATAGCACCAAAAAAGTGACTTATGACTATTTTTCACGCTTACGGCAGCATCCCCGTGGTCTTGTGATCAAAATTCACACTCTTGGCAACTGACTCATATTTATGACGATTGCAGTGTCCTGGGGTCATGTGATCACCTTTTGTGACATTCTAGCAAGCAAAATCAATGGGAAAGCTAGATTCACTGAACAGCAGTGTTTTATTAACTCAACAACTGCAGTGGGTTTACTTAACAACTGTGGTAAGAAAGGTCACAAAATGGGACAAAATTCACTTTAAAAATGTCTTGCATAACAACAGGAATTTTGGGCTCAGTTGTGGTCATAAGTTGAGGACTACCTGTACTGACCAACTGTAAAGCTAACAATACATTTACATCAAAATCACCCACTCCTCTCTTTGTCCTATAAAACTTAAAATGAAAGTAAATTCCAACTAATACAGGAACTGCACTTACTTCCATTAATGCCAAGGAGAGCTGCTACTGAGGTCTGTGCTGGTGTGAATACAGAATAACAGAGTTGGAAGGGACCTTGGAAGTTTTCCAGTCCTACCCCCTGCCCAATTTTTGTCCCACAATTAGCCCAAGGGTGAATCAAGACAGAATTAAATCTGTTCCTACACTTTGGCCATCCCTTCTTGATTTGAGGAGCGCTCTCCTATACTGCTACCTGTTAAGTTGCCTAATTTAAATAGATTAGATATTCAAGCCCAAAGGGCTTCTCTCCACCCTATTATCTATGCAGAGGTTTCCAAACTTGGCAACTGTAAGACTTGTGTACTTCAACTCCCAGAATTCCTCAGCCAGCTCTGCTTTCTGGGAGTTGAAGTTCACAAGTCTTAAAGTTGCCAAGTTTGGGGACCACCATCTTAGATTACAGATCCGAAGAACCCCCATACATCATAAAAGAGCATTTAGTGCTAACTAATTTAGTTTACCCAAGGCTTGCAGAATGGCAAATGTCTAGATGTATGCAGATCTCCTTCATTCCACAAATTAATGTCATGCTTCTCATAAAAGTTTTTTGCAACTCTTGGAAGTTGCAAAATGTGCCCAATCCTTTAAACATTCTAAACGTTTCTAAAAAACCCTTTTACATATGTTGAGATCTGTTTAAACAATTGGGATATCCACCCCACCCACTACTTTTCATCTTATTCTGGGTGGCATCTCCTACTAAACTATATATCTCCAGCCACCTGCCAAATCCTCCTCTGCTTGTATTCTCAGGGCCTTAGTCTTGGCAATGATGCTGTCCCGCTTCTTTTGAACAGCAGGGTCATGAGATGTCACCACTGCTTGCCTGCTTACCTTCCTATGAGTGCTATTTCAATCAGGTCCAACTGCAATACCTGCAGCCTCCATTTCACCTGGAACTTCACAGTAGGACCAAACTGCAGACTTGAACCTGTTCCTGGAAAGGCAAACCATCCTGTCAAAAGAGCAATCAGAACTTTTCCTAAACTTTGGCCCCATGAATCGTCAATGGCAGCAGGGACCATGGATATATTTTGAAAGGACAAAATAACATCATCTCACAGAATGAATCTTCTTGAAACAAAATGCAGTTGCCATGGCTGTAGTCCCAATTCAAAACAAATGTGACATATAAACTCCGAAGGCAATCAAAACTCAGTTACTGATCAAAAGTGATGTTTGATCACAGACGGTTCATTCATATACAATAAATAATACAGAAAGGAGATACCCAATTCTAGAAAAGCTTAGAAAGCTTTTGCATGGCAAAAATCTGTATCCTCAGTTGCCAATAGTAATAGCAGAGAGGTCATTTTGCTTTTCTGGTGGGTTTTCTTAGGAAGTAAGCTGCTTCCTAAAGCTTTGCTAAGATTTGACCATTTCAGATTGGGTTGATAACTCCCGAGTTAGAAATGCACCACCCCAAAGCACAATACTTGCTATCAAAGTAACGTACTTTATGGAGGAAAGCTTCAACCACTGTGTAGATAAACATTTCTTTATATTAGGGGAAACTGGGAGTTTACAATCTGACTTTATGATTCATTCACAGAACCATCCTTCTAGTGTCTTTTGAAACCTAACATGCTTGGTGTTGCCTATCCATTCCTGGATTTTTGTCAGAAAAACCAAGGCTATCCACCCCATACTGATTGAGTAAATGGTGACCCTTGTACAATTTAACGATATATATTGCCATCTGCAAAAACTTGAAGCTTCTTCCTCTATTTTCATCCCTTGCATTTCTGTTATACTTGGTGACATCTCCTTCTAATGTTGGGGGCAAAGGACAGCTCTTTCAGTCTCAGTCTTCCAAATTCCCATAGTGCTACCAGAACTTCCTTTGGCTCATCTAATCTCCTTATATGTCCTATCTGCTTACAATGTCCTATCCAGACATGTTCCAACTACAGTTATAATCTGAAATATCATCTGGTTATCACATCAGTTTGATATATTGGTAGGCAAATCAGTCCACTGTCACTATCAAAATTGGAAACTATTTAAGGAAAGTGTAAACCAAACCTCTCTATTGTCCATTTGGTAGCATCAAAGTAAGACCCAACTCTTGTGTTTCAGGAACTAACAAACTGCCTCAAAGTGTGTCTATAAATCTATCTATAGGCTCTTTTTCCTTTCTAATTAAAAGTCAAATTCAGCCACCAACCAACTGAATGCAGCAAACCATTGAAAGCACTGTGCAATTGGCTTCCATAAGAGGAAAATATCCAAGTAATATTTGGCATTGGGACTTAGTGTCTTGCAAAGGAACTATTCCAGCATTTTCCTGATGCACCTAAAACTGTAGGCTTATAAAACTGTAGCTTAAAATGATAAATAAAACAATAATTATCCAAGAACACTGCTTTCTCCTGATAAAACTCTAGCCCCATTAATGTATACAATTAAACAAATTAATCTAAACATCTTGTCCCCAATGCAGCAGAGACCTTTGTACAGTTTTCCGACTAATGAAGGTATATCCCAGTGTAAATGCCACTGTCAGTAAACAATTCTTAGCTTATAGGAGTATCTGTCCACTTTTATCTTCCCAGATATTTGCACTCATTCATAGCTATATGAGGGTCCAACATGATTAGGGCACTGAAGCTTAAACAAGCGATTGAGGGAAGTAGGTATGGTTAGTCTAATGAAGAGGCAGAGTAGGGTGATATGATAGCAGTGCTTTAGTCCTGGGTGGGGGGGCTCTGACAGAGAACAGGGGATTGACCTATTTTCCAAAGTTCCTGAGGGCAGGACTAGAAGTAACAGATGGAAGATTATCAAAGGGTGATTCAACCTAGAACTAAGGAGAAATTTCTTGATAGTGAGAACAATTGATCAGTGGAATGGCTTATCTCCAGAAGTTGTGGAGGTTTTCAAGATTTGCCTGAACTAGTGTAGTATAGGGTTTCCTGCTTGAACAGGTGGTTGGATTAGAAGACCAGGTCCCATTATAGGTCTATTACTTTATATTCTATGTCCTGCTTTAAATATCCCTCATGGTTACGTTCCCCTTTTACCCTGGTAGAACAAAATGCTCCGGAGGAACTGTCCCCTGCTGTACATCCCTGTGCACTGCTGCCACTCAAACCAAATCATTTCTTCCTTGGAAGATTAGAGTTGGGATTCTAAATCAATTCAAAAGTAGAGTTGGTCTGACTTTTCTTATGTTGACAATTGTGTTGACAGCTCTTGCCTTGTTTTGTTTTTCTTCCTTTCTATTTACATTGTATTTACATTGGCTCTAATCCATATACAAGTAGCTTTTAAAGGTGTGACTTAGCTGAGAATTAAATATCCAGTTTATTCATGAAGGAAGTCTTAAATACACAAATGACATTGGTAAAACTGCTTCTTTAGATATTATTCAGTCAGAGATAAGAATGAGTATTCAGGCGCCTGAGCAAAAAGGGCACTTTTTATTCAGGCTTAATTCTGTACAGTTTTTCTTTTTCCAGCTCATCTTCTTCCCTTTTGTTTTGTCTGCCATATAAGAAAACAAAATCTCAAAAGACCAAGCAGGAAAATGTGATTTCTAACAAGCCCTTTAATTATTTAATAGAGTAATGAGAATATGTCAGCTTTAAATCAGCTGATCATTGTATGTCATTATAGCATTTGAGAAGATAATAAAGCCATACTGACGAATGTATATGATCTCATTTAATAGATTTGGATGAAAGTAAAACTCATTATTTGAAGCATTTTTCCTTGCTTTTCATGTGTCTTCCAGCAAAGAATCAATGACAAAACTTTATAATCTAAAGTAAAAAGTCATTGGACTCATAGACCTAACTGTAGTTTTCATAGCTTTTTATGATAACAGTTCAGATCTGGTTTTTAAAAAAATAACTTAAAAAAAAAGTAACTCCCAGCCTGTTCTGTAGCCATGGTGTTTCTTGGTAGTTTCCTGTCCAAATATTAATCAAATCCCACCAAGAGTAGTTGTTTGAGATCAGCAAAGTTTGACTTAGATGCTGCCATCTAGCTAGGATAAAATAATTTTACAACGATATGAAAAAAAAAATATTTCAGTTAATTTCTTAATTGCAAAGTTCTGTCAGAAAAGTGGGAAGTAAGCTTGAATGCATGGGGCTGGGTTGTCTTTCCATAATAGAGAACACCCCCCTCAATCTTCCAATAGATGAAGTCAGTATAAGCCAAGCCATGCTTCAGTTCTAAAGTCTTATGGCAATACGAAATGAGAAGCAGAATACTCGTTCTGGGAGAGAACTGTGAAACAAGTTCCCTGACCTTGGTCTTTTCTGACAGATATATGGGGCCAGGCTGAAACTTTAGTGAGCTATTGGAAAAAACAGTATTTGAACACTAAGTGTGCCTTCATTACATGCCTGCTTTTAATGTAGGAAATGAGTAAAAGAAGTCATAGTAATGACTCACTTGAAACAAGTTCACAGAATTAGCAGATCTCATTTCAAAGTAAATAATTTTA